AAGGCATTGCTTCTGGCTGAAAGCTTTACCACACTCACGGCATACATAGGGTTTTTCTCCTGTATGAATTCGTAGATGACTTTTGAGCTGTGCTTTCCAAATGAAAGCTTTGCCACATTCACCACATACCTGGGGTTTCGCCCCAGTATGACTTTTCTGATGAATAGTGAGGTACTTCTTCCTGATAAAGGCTTTTTCACATTTAGTACATACATGGGGTTTCTCTCTAGTATGAATTGGCTGATGAGCCGTGAGATCACTCTTCCTGGTGAAGCCTTTCCCACATTCACTGCATACACAGGGCATCTGTGCCACATGAGTTTTCTGATGTTCCTTGAGGTATGATTTAGTATGATAAGCTTTGCCACATTCCAAGCATTTATATAGTTTTTGTCCTTTATGAGCTTTTTGATAATGTTCATTGAGTTTGAACATTTTATCTAATTTTTGCCCACACTGACTGCATTCATAGGTCTTATCTAGTATATCAATGATCTGGTGCTCACAGACCTCGATGAAGGTCATCCCACATTTATCACCTGTGTGCGGTTTCTCAATTTCATCAGATTCCTGATGCTGAATCCACTGTGACGTCATGCGCCTGGATTGTTCACACTCAGGGAATTTCACGTCTGTACAAAATTGCTCTTCAACGTGGAGAAAAGTTTTCTCATCTCCACTGAGCACAGCTGACTATTTTGTTGCGCCTGTTCTGATTTCATTTCAGAATGATTAAATCTGATTCTACAATTTCATGAAAGCCAAGCATCTCATAATTTTCCTTGAGAGGAAAATTATTTTTGTGCTGAGAAACAGTAATATCCAATGAATTAAATTTATAGCACTGTTCCGTTCTGTCCATGCATCTTTCATGTTGCAAGTGTTCGAGAATATGATCACCGTCTTTCTGGATTTCTAGGAAAGAATATAACTTTGAATCTTTCCATCATCTTGATTTATAATGGACCTCTTAAAATATGCACTGATACAAGATAAACCCTTAGAGACAACTCTCTTATATGAAATGTAAATATACACTATGCTTAAAGTTTATCCCATTGGAAGAAATACAATCATGTAAACAATCCAAATGATAAAGTTATTATAGAAACAACGAGGGACATAAAAGAAATGAATGAACACAGATTTGGTATTTGCTTAAATAAGGCCATGAAAATATACAACAAATGTAATACAAACAAGACATTGAGACCAATAGACCAAAGGGGTGGTAAGGCTTGCTAATTTCAGTTGGTAGATGACAGATGTATTCATTCCATCAAGACAACTAAGTATTACATAAAGTTGAGAATGTGAAAAACGCAGAGTGTTCTACTTGGGAGAAAACCATTTTTACAGGTATGTATGAAAGGTATTATGGTACACAAACATATTCTTTAGGGTTATGGACCCTGTATTCTAGCTTACATCACCCATCTTTCAGTGTTGTCCTGTGGTGGCTTGCATGGTGCTGTGATGCCAGAAGCAATGCCACCCAGTGTTTCAAATACAAGCAGAATCACCCATGGTGCCCAGGTCTTAGTGGGATCTCCAGAAATAGGGACTGGGAGGAAGACCTGGTGATCTACTTCTGGAGCATGAACCCCTCAGGTTTAATGGCAATGAAATAACACTGAACAAGAACTAAATCCTCAAAGTACAGTCAACAGGGACGATGTGGATGGAGGAGAGCTTTCGGGACCTTAAGTGGTTGACATGTCATGACTGAAAATGAGAAAAAATAGATGCAAACATCCTCTAATAATTGGAAGATGGAATAAATGAAGGATTATCAAGAACAATTGCAAGTTGTCAAAACAAAATGGAATGTTTAAATATTGATGGTTTATGGCATATTAAACTTTAATAGACTGGTACTGGCTATTTTTAATTAGATAATCAAGTGGTCTATAAGGCTGAGATTGACAAATTAAAGAATACTGGTGTCATGTTCATCATCAAAAAGTACATTGCAAGATCTTCTCTGAAGTACAATTCTGTCTGTGGTAGGTTGATATTCATATGCTTGCAGGTAAGATCAGTTACAAGTGTTATTCAATTTGTGCACCAACTGCTAAAGCAAACAAAGTGTGGGATCGAGCCCCACAGTTGAAAGGACCCTTAGGAACAGCATGTGCAATTAAGGAAGATAAAGCAGACAGCAAAAATGGGGTAGAGTGGCCTCATCTCCGATGCCAGAATAAGGTAGTGAGGTCATTTAACAGTGAGTTTATATAGGAGGAAGGTGTGGAAGCCTCCAGAAGGCACAGACACGACAGAATGGACCAGTGTGAATGTGGGGATATCCTGAATTCCTTTAGAACACTTCATGATAAGTATCAGGCTGTGGGAAACTGAGGACCAAGAAGAG